TCCCATTGTTATTGTCACTGTCACTGTCACTGTCATTGTCATTGTCATTGCCATAGTCATTGTCACTGTCACTGTCATTGTCATTGTCATTGTCAAGGTCAATGTCACTGTCATTCCCATTGTTATTGTCACTGTCACTGTCACTGTCATTGTCATTGTCATTGTCATTGTCATTGCCATTGCCATTGTCATTGTCACTGCCATTGCCATTGTCATTGTCATGATAATTTATTCCTGATCGTTATTAATTTATTCATTACTGTCTGTTGTTGTTTATTAGCCCAGGTGTGTTATTTTAAATTATTTATTGTCCCTATTATCCCATATATAGCATGTATATCCGATAGATAACATATCTATCTGTTTTTCTATTTAACATATTATATATTATATATATCCTATATGTATTTATTATCTATTATCCCACATACAGTATTTATATTATTATTTTATCTTTAATATATATTTAATATCCATTATTTTTATATCTTTATTATCCCATATGTATTTAATACATAGTGCAATATAAAAATATATATTGCATATGTCATATATGTAGGATATATAATACATAGCTCATATATAATATATTATATATTATTCCATTATTATTATTATTATTATTATTATTATTATTATTACTATTACTATTACTATTACTATTACTATTATTATTATTATTTTCTCTTTGTTATCCATTTGTAGCTTACAATAGATTTATTCTCATTTTTTATTCTTTTTTTTATTTAATACCGATTTTTAATTAACAATCTATTTATTATAAGCACTATTTATTTCCTCTGCTATCCCTTATTTACTATCCTGGCTCCGCCCGGAGCCCCTCCCTGTTCCCGGGTTTCCCTGAGGCATTCGGGGCCGGTTCCGCACCTCTCACGGCTCCCACGAACCCCTTGAGGTCCTTGTAGAGTTTGTGGCCCTCGTTCTGCAAAACACAGCGGCGAGGGGGGTCAGGGCTGTCCGGGGGCTGGGGGGACAGGCCCCCGGTGTCCCCCTGTGGGGTGTCCGCAGTGTCCCCGGTGTCCCCCTGTCACCTGCTGCAGCTGGAAGTTGTAGGCGCTCTGCTCGAACTGCTCGTCTTTGGTTTCCACCGTTTTGCCCAATTTTTGCAAAACCTGTGATGGAGAGAGAGGGGAAGAGCCCCCCACCACACCCCGAGGTCACCGGGCCCCCCAAAACCGCCCTGAGGGGCTGCCGAGGATCCGGCAGGGCAGGACCTGTGTGGGAATGCAAAATTTCACTGCACCCACTCAGTGCTTTCATTTTTTTCAGGAAAATGGTGAATTTTGGGATGCCAATTTACCTCCCACCCTAAACCCTGCAGGTGCAGTCCTGTGCACCCCAAAACACCCTGAGCTCCAACTGTGGGGCACAGGGGACACCATGAGGAGGATGAGGAGGGTCTGAGGCTGAGGGAGAGCTCAGAGGCTGCACTGGGTGGGGGAGATTTGGGGTGTCCAGGCTGAACTTCCTGGGAAGAGGCTGAGTCTGGACTGGGGCAGCTTTGGGGTGTCCAGGAAGAGATGGAGCTCCCTGGGAAGAGGCTGGGGCCAGGCATGAAGGAGTTTTGGGGTGCTCAGGAAGAGGGTGACCCTCTGGAAAATGACTGAAGCTGGATGGGGGGAAATTCAGAGTGTCCAGGAAGAGGCTGAACCCCCCAGGAAGAGGTTGGGGCCAGGCAGGAGGGACTTTTTGGGTGTCCCCAAACAACTTGACCCCCACAGGAAGAGGCCAGGGCTGGGAGCAGGGAGCTTTGGAGTGTCCAGGAAGAGGCTGGGGCTGGGTCGGAGGGAGATTTGGGATGTCCAGGAAGAGGTTGGGCCCCCTGGGAAGAGGCCAGGACCGGCTGGGAGGGAGATCTGCTGTGTGCAGGAAGGAGCCAGAGCCTGGCCCCGGATGATTGAGCCGTGGGAAAGCCAAATTTAGCACCAAGTCCCGGCCAGGAAGCCTGGGAGGGTGAGGGTTTGAAAGGGGCTTTTGTGTCACCCCCAAAACTGCAGTCACAACTACATTTTTTGGGGGAGGAAAGGAAAGAGGTTCCCCCAAAGTGCCCCAAAGCAGCTGAGAATTGCCCCGCTCGTGCCGCTTCCGCAGCCCTTCCCCCTCGCTTCCTGCGGGCCCCTGCCGGTCTCGCCGACATTCCTGGGACCACCGGCCACGCTGGGTCCCGCCGGGCACCCTCAGTGCCTGCCAGCCCAGGGAGCCTGTGCCACCACCCCACAGCCCCCCATACCCTCTGCAAGGTGTTTTGGGTGGAAAACCCCCCACCACTGGAGAAGCCAAAGTATCTTGGGGAGCTCTGGGAGATGCCATCCTCCAAAGCCATGGAGCAACGATGACATTGACCCAGAAACGCCCAAATTCCCACCCTGGGAACACCCAAAGGTGCTGAGCTGTGCTGTTTGGGCCGGCCTGGGAGCACTGTGGTGGGAAAGAAGGACAAATCCAGTGAAAGCTGGGATTCGGGGGTGGGTGGCACCGCCGTACCTTCTCCTGGGCGCGGCTGAAGTGCTTCTGGACCTGCCTGGCGAAGAGCCCGGCGCTGCCGCTCCTGCCCTCGGCCATGGCCCCGGCCCGCCCCGCCCGCGGCCCCGCGGCTGCCGTTGGAGGGTTTTGATGGAGGAAGTCGGAGGCGAGGCCAGGCAGCATCCGCTGCGCGCCCCGGAACCCCCAAACCCCCAAAAGGCTCTCCTGGACCAGGGCCAGGCCACAGGGCTGGGCGACCATGAGGGATCTGGCGCTGGGAGGGACCCTCAAGGACCGTCGAGGCCGTTCCTGGCCCTGTGCAGGACAAAACCCCAATGGACAGGTTGTGGTCAATAAGGTCTCTGACCTCACAGATTGTGAAATCGCCAGAACTGGAACGGACCCACAAAAGTCACCTGTTGGTTCTGCAAAAGACAACCCCAAAGACGCCCAAAATCCAAGAGTGTTGTCTAAGTGCTCCCTGATGTACAGACTCAAGGTGATACAGAGTAAAAATTTAACAAGGTAGAAATCCATTTGAATTTAAGTGAAATGTGCTGTAAATAAACATACCCATTCCCTACAAATCTTTATTAGAATTGTGGGGTTTGATTTTTCATCCGCATTTCAGAGGTATCATGGAAATCCTGAGTTGAAAGACATCCACTGGGAACAAAGAATTGTGGAACATATGGAGTAGGATAGGACGTAAGGTGTGTGTTCAATGTTTGTCCATGCACAGGACAATCCCAAGAACCTCAGTAATTAGGAAATCCGATGTTTTTAGCCCAAAAATGAGTTTGCAGCCCTTTGTGTCACAGCTGGGGGATCAGCTTTGCATTGGGGTGTCCCTGTGTGGGGCAGAGCTGTTGCTGCTGTCCCTCAACACGTGCCCTCGACAGAACAAACATGGTATTACTTGGAAATGGAGTTCCTGGGAAATCCCGTGTTTTCCTTGGAGATAAGGGCAGAACTGCAGCAGGTGCTTTTGATTGCCTTCACTTTTTCTGGCCTGGCTGACCCCATGAACCCGGTGATCCCAAATGCCAGCTGTGCCTGTGCCTCGAGGGCCAAGGTCCCCCCCAAAACAACCCGAGTTTGGAGTTCAAGGGGGAAAAAATGACACCGTTTTGGCCAAAACGCCGGGGTTTCTTTCAAACCACATCGCTGCTTCGTTCTGCCCCAAGCTCAGGCCCCAGGGAGGCCGAGCCCCGGCGCTGCCCCAGCGCTGGCTGCGCTGGGGGCTTGGGGAGGGGCTGAAGGTCGTGGCCTGGCTGTGCCTCGATTTCCCCGTCCCGGCGCCGATGCGGCCGCATTCGGGTGCTGGATCCAGCCCTGGGAGCCATCGCACCGAGCGAGGCCGCGGAGAGCGGCAGCCGAGGCCCGGCGGGCTGAGAGCGGCCCCGGCGGAGCCGGCGCTGCGGCCGCGGGGCCGGGAGCCGCCAGCGCGGGGCAGCGTCCCCGGGATCCGGCGGCGCTCGGGCTGCCCTGGGGTGCCCGGGCGCCGCGTGTGCCTTGGCGGAGGGGCCAAGGCCGCTCGGGGGCCGCGGCACCTGCCGCCCTTCCCGCGCCTCCTCCCGCGGCCCCGTTAAAGCGCCCGCGGGGCAGCCCCGGCCCCGCGGCGGACAGCGCTCCACGATGATGCTGCAGCTCGTGCTCCTCGCCGCGCTCGCCCTGTGCGGTGAGTCCCGCCCGGAGCCTCCGGCCTCGGCAGCTGCCGAAGGCCCCGGGACCCACCCCGCGGGGGGCTCACGCCGCGCCTCTGTCCCCAGGGCGCTGCTCCGAGCTGGATCTCGATGGCATGCAGCGGGTGGTCGGCGGCACCGAGGCGCGCTCGCACGCCTGGCCCTACCAGGTGGGTCCTGCCGGCGTCCCGCGGCCGGGCCCGGGGCTCTCCCCGCGCCGGGACCCCGCGCTGAGCCCCGCGCCGCCTCTCGCCCCCTCCCCAGATCTCCCTGCAGTATTACTCCAACGGCGGCTGGCACCACACCTGCGGGGGCTCCCTCATCCAGAGGAACTGGGTGATGACCGCCGCCCACTGCGTCAACAAGTGAGCGGCCCGCGGCCCCCTCCTTCCTCTCGCCAAAGCTCCTTTCCCCCAAAATCCTTTCCAAGGAGAAATTCTGCCTGCCCCGGCCACCAGAGCGGCCGCCCTCGGAGGCCTTTGGGGCTCCTCAGGCAGGGGCTCCAGGGGCTCCTCCGGGAGCGTCCTCTCCCCGCTCGGAGCCTCCCGGATCAGCTCCCGCTCGGGCTGAGCGGAGCTCGGGGCTGACGGAGGGCTTTTTGCACCTTGCCGGCAGACAATTGCAGTACCGTGTGGTGGCCGGCGAGCACAACCTCAACGTCAACGAGGGCAGCGAGCAGGTCTTCAGCGTCAGCAAGATCGTCGTCCACCCCTACTGGAATAGCAACAACGTGGGCGCAGGGTAACGCCCGCGGGAGGGGCACCTGGGGGCAGCGCGGCCGGGCTTTGGGCAGGCTCCCCGTAACATGCCGTCCCTCCCCGCGGCAGCTACGACATCGCCCTGTTCCGCCTGAGCAGCTACGCCACCCTGAACAGCGCCGTGCAGCTGGCGGTGCTGCCCCAGGAGGGCACCGTCCTGCCCAACAACTACCCCTGCGTCATCACGGGCTGGGGCCTGACCCGCAGTGAGTAACGGGCTCCCCCCGCCCCGAATCGCCGCGCCCGGGCACCGCCGGCAGCCGCGGCGGCGCTCGGAGCCGCGGACGGCGCCCGGAGGCTTCGCCCGGGGCTCCGCCCGGGCCACGCGGGCGCCCAGCGCCGGCCGGGGCCGCGCCGAGCCCGGGGGGCGCGGACGGGCCCGGGGGGGCTCGGCGGGGGCCGCGGGCTCGGCTTTGCCGGCGGCGTCCGGCGGCTCCGAGGCGGCGCTGACCGGCGCCGGCCCCGCGCAGGCAACGGGCAGCTGTCCAGCGTCCTGCTCCAGGCCTCCCTGCCCGTCGTGGACTACCAGATCTGCTCCAGCGCGTCCTACTGGGGCTCCCTGGTCAAGAACACCATGGTGTGCGCCGGCGGCGACGGCGTGCGCTCCGGCTGCCAGGTCCGGCCGCGGCCCCCGCGCCGCCCCCGCCGCCCCCGCGCCCCCCCAGCCCCGGCTCACGCCGCCCCTCGCTCCGCAGGGCGATTCCGGCGGGCCGCTGCACTGCGCCGTCAACGGGCAGTACCAGGTGCACGGCGTCACCAGCTTCGTGTCCAGCCAGGGCTGCAACGTGCTCCGCAAACCCACCGTGTTCACCCGCGTCTCCGCCTACGTCTCCTGGATCAAAAGCGTAAGGCGGCCGCGCCGGGCCGGGCCGCGCCGGGCCGGGCTCAGCCCCGGCGCTCTCGGGGCTCCGCTGCGCCGGCCCCGGCCCCGCGCGGCTCAGCCCGGCCCTCTCTCCCTTCCAGGTGGTCGCCCAGAACTGAGCCCGGCCGGACAAGCGCTCGCTGCCCCTGGCCCGTGGCCATGCCCTGACCGTCCCCCGCCGCGCTCCGGGCTCCTCGCACCCGAGCCGGCCTCAATAAAATCTCTCCTCCCGTCTCGGTGCCTCCGTGCTGCCTTGCCCCGCGCCCGCCCATCCTTCCTCCTCCGGCCCGCCGTCCTCATCGCCGCCCAGCTCCCGCACCAGCCCTTCCCCGCCTCCTCCTCTTCCTCACTCCTCAGGGAAGAGCCCTGGGGAGCCGGAGCTGGCTCCGAGCTGTCGGGGCAGCCCCAGCGTCTCTGGGACGCTGGAAAAGGGGGAAATGCTGCAGATCCCCCTCCTGGGCAGCGAGGCAATTGCCCCTTGGCCGTGCGGGGGCACGCGGAGGATTCGGGGCCATCCCATCGGCATTTCCCCTGCCGCTCGCTCCATTTCCCTTCCCAAAATGACCTCCTCGGCCATGAGAGCTGTCGGATTCGGGCACTGCCACCTCCTCGTCCCTCAGCTGCATCCTGGCGCTGTGCCACAGCCCCCCGGCCTGGGGACAAACCGCCAGCACCAACGTGCCCCAAACCCCCACTTTACACCCCAACCAGACACTGCGGGGTGGATCCGGCGCCCGCTGGGAGTTCCTCCCACCCCTCGGTCGCGTCCTGCCGAACAAAACACCCAAGAACGACCAGATGGCTCTGCCAGCCCCGCGGTGGCCGCGGGAGCCGTGGCTGTGCCTGGCACTGCTGAACCCCCGCGGGCTGTGCCCGGTTCTGCCCCTCCCAACCAGAAACACACCGAGGGGCTGGAGCACGTTCAGAGGAGGGAACAGAGCTGGGGAAGGGGCTGGAGCAGCTGAGGGAGCTGAGGAGGCTCAGCCTGGAGGAAAGGAGCCTCAGGGGGGACCTTCTGGCTCTCCACGACTCCCTGAGAGCAGGGGACAGCTGGGGGAGTCAGGTTCTGCTCCCAAGGAAACGGGACAGGAGGGGAGGACAGAGGCTCAGGTTGTGCCGGGAGAGGCTCAGCTTGGACACCAGGAGATCGACACAATCCCCTCCCTTGGGCAGCTGCGGTTCCAGCCCTGGCTCCCCACGGCAGTTCCGGTTGTCCTGTTCCACAAAGCCTTTGATTCCCCGTGCAGTGACCCCGCACAGCCCCAGCTGGTGCCTCTGAGGAGGAGCCCCTCGGGTTTATCTCCTCACAGTCCAAGAGTGCAAGTTTCACTCTTCCTCTCAAATCTTTGGCTCCTCTCGTCTCTCCCAGTGCCCACACACTTGGCGGTGCCACTGCTCTCCAAAGGCTCAGCACTTCACAGCCT